TGTTTTATGTTTAAAGGAGGTTTTGTTATTTATCTCCACAATACGAAACTGTTTAAAGATAGCTTAACACTTCCTTAAACTTCTTAACCAAGTAAATTATTAGTGATGGAAAGATACTTAGGCAGATAGTTTGTATGAGTAACTTTATTTGAATTTAATAAAGAATGGTTTTCATTTCTCGTTTTTGTTTTGTTGTTTTTTTTTTCTTAATTTTTTCATTTATACCGGGCTCGTCATCCAAGTTCATATAGTGGAATATTTTTCACCTCTCTATCACCTTTTACTCATTTTTTGCATTATATATTCGAACATGTGAAAAGTTTATAATCGTAAATTATATTGTCTTCTCAGTCTTCTCTTGTTATGCCGCCTTGTCCTCTTATTTATGTCGGCTGTAGTGCTTTTGTGTTTATTGCAAATAACTGAAGTTAAAGGCAAGTCAATCATAAAAGTTTCGAAGGAATACTTGGAGACGCGTATCTTTTGGGGGAAAATGAGAGTGAACTTTTGGAATTGACAATCAATATATTTGTTCTGAATACTTTCCATAACGGTGCCCCATAAGTTTTAGACTCGAATCGTTGCTATCTAAATACGATTGATTATTACTTGACTAATAGGAAAGCTAAGTAAAGTAACTTAGATTGTTTATTTTCACCCAATTGAATCGTTACTGGCACAATGACGAAAAGATATCATACTAAAACAAAGAATGATAAGATAATACCTGGGTTTCATTGGTTAAAAGTAAGTCAGGAGAGTTAAATCATTTATACAAATTTTAATATCAAATATTTGCATCAATTTGTACATCCTTCGGGAAGTCGGTTTCGGAAAGTGATAAGCGCCATGAAGAATTCGCTTTTTATCTTTTTTTTGTTACTGTTGTGCCCTATGATTTCTGCTTCTGTCTCATCGCAAGGTTAGTCTCACCATTACTCATTTACGAGCGGGAATAGATAAGAGACATTATTCTTTCATAATCATAGTTACCGATTAACACCTGCATGTTATATTTTTAAAGGAGGTTTTGTTATTTACCTCCACGATAGAAAACTGTTTAAAAATAGCTTAACACTTCCTTGAAGTTTTTAACTAAATAAATTATAAATGATTATTCTTAGGCAGATAGTTTGTATGAATACCTTTGCGTGAATTTAACTGCGAATGGTTTTCATTTCTCCTTTTTGTTTTGTTGTGGTTTTTTTTTAATTATTTTTTTTATCGAGCTCTTCATCCAAGTTTATATATTGCAATATTTTCTTCCTCTCTATCTCCTCTTTTTTCAGTTATTCACTTTTTGTATTTTGTATTCGAACATGTGAAAAGTTTACACTCGTAATTATATTGTCTTCTTAGTCTTCTTTTGTTATGCCGCTCTTCTTATTTGTGTCGGCTGTAGGGGTTTTTGTGAATATTGAGCCAGTAAAGTTAAATTTTTGCCTCAGTTGTGGTTAACTCTTTCTCCAATAAATAAGTCCCAACATCAGAGAATATCGACAAATTTGCGATTCCTGCTAGATATGTAGCTTTTGAGAAGTAATTTATTCGGAAGAGGAGACATTTTGCGATAAAGATCTTCTGCAATGACAGGCTCTTTGCAAAAGTTCTTTGTTCCTCGATCTGGTTCATTCATGGATTTCTACAACGATCCAGTCCACTTTACCAATTAAGACCTACGAACTTCGTCTTTACTGAGAATATTTACTTTTTTTATTGTTTGGGAAGTTTTCGAATGGAAATTTTTCTTACTTAAATATGTACATTTTTTGTGGAAAATAATTGCCATCTGTAAGTTTCCAACCAATGGCAGTACGGATAATTGTCTGTTATTTATGTAGAAATGTATTAACTTGCAAGTTAAGATGGAAGACAAAAAGGAAACCAAATGGATGGATGAATTAAAATAAATATATTCCTACACTTGACGACAGAGATTTGAAAAATGCATTTATTTAAATATTCTCTTTTACCAGTGTTTTCCTTCTTTTATATTTTTCATACATTTCAAAGACTTCTGTGACGCAGACCAATGCCGAAAGTTGGAGTTTACCCCTGAAAAAAATTTTGATGGAAGACGTCTTATAAACCACGTCATTCGCATCGTTGAAGTTCTGACAATGAATTTTTGTGACAACATGTGTTATATGGAACCCGACTGTGTCAGCATTAATCTTTATAAACGAGTGAGTGGTCATGGAGCGTACAAATGTGAATTGAATAATGTTACTCACGAAAGACACGAACACGACCTGGAGAAGGTAGACGATTATGTTTATCATGCAGCTGAGGTGGGTGTTTCATCATTAGCAAATACTCATTTCAAGGGAAAGAAAAAACTAGTTTCCCGGTTATAAGCGTTGCAATTGTTGCTTTAAGTCTAATATCACTGTCAATCTATCTCTAGCATTATCATTATTAAATGGTTAAGAATATATGAAAGTCATATATTTGAACTGCGGATAAAGACGTGAATGAAAGTGATCCTCGCGAGGATCACTTTCATTCACGTCTTTATCCGCAGTTCAAATATATGACTTTCATATATTCTTAACCATTTATTCATCACTTCACGGGTTTATTTAGAACCAACTTCATGACCAGCTCCCAGTTGGCTTGTTAGCTCAGTTGGTAGAGCGCTGCACCGGTATCGCAAAGGTCATGGGTTCAAATCCCGTACAGGACTGAATTTTTTTTCAGGCCTTATTTTCACTACCGCGTAAGTAAAGCACATTACTGCGAGGATCATTTTCATTCACATTATCATTATTTTTAGTTTAAATGGCGCTCGATTCCCATTTTATTAATAATTCAACGTATAATATTTTTTTCCCTTCAGAGCGCTTGTGTTGATAACCCTTGCAGCAATAATTCTACTTGCCAAAGCGGTTTTACTGACAAAGGATATCGCTGTTTGTGTACCACTGGATTCAAAGGTCCAAGATGTAAGAAAGGTAACGCCTGTCATGTCAAACGGTCGTATGCTCGTGTTGACTACAGTCTCATACACAACTTCGAAAGGTACCTGTAAAAGTTTAGGTCCGGTTTATTATAAACTCACGCAAGAACCATGTAGCTCTTAACTGACTCTTTGCTAAAAAGCTGCTCCAAAATTGTAGGAGTATCATGTCGGATCCCACGTAGGTCTCAATAAATTTAGTTTTTTCACATCTGCAATGATGACGTTCTAATTATAGAAGAATCTTTTCAGATATCGACGAGTGTGCTGCAGGAACACAAGACTGCAGTAAAAATGCTGTTTGCAACAATACCAAAGGTTCCTATAACTGTTCATGTAAACCTGGATATTCTGGAAATGGACGGACTTGCGAAGGTAAACGTGACTAAAGCCCTAATTTTATTGAACGAACAAAGGAATGGAGACTTAAGACACATTTCAACCCTTAAAATGATAAAATCGGTATGTGTTTAGGAGTTTTCTCAATTGAATCAGTTGCCATGAATTTTACAGATATAAACGAGTGCGCTGACGGAACATCCAACTGCAGTGCTGATGCTATGTGCGACAATACCGAGGGATCGTATCGCTGCAAATGCAAACCAGGCTTTACTGGAGATGGACGGACTTGCAAAGGTAAAACAGAGCCTTGATCTAGAGTGTTCTGTTAATTAAATAGATAATGATAAATGTAAATATATTTTGTTTCTTATTGGTATCATTAAGCAAAGCGGCAGACAATTTTGTATTTATAAAAGTAATATATTTTATAAAATAGTGAATTTGAAAGACGGACAATTTCTGAAAGTTCTTGTAAAAGTTTAGATCCGGTATATTATAATCTCGCTGAATGATCCATACCCAAATTGGTTGATGGTACTCTTCCATGGCCAAGAGAACTGCAGGAAAACTGCAAAACTCTCAAGACATCGAATCAAACGTTGGTCTTCATTCGCTTTTTACACTTTAGTTTTAAATCAGCATTAGTTTTAAAATTCATAGCAGAGACGACGTTCTAATTAAAGGAGGGTCTTTTCAGATATAGACGAGTGTGCAACAGGAAAAACGAACTGCAGTGCTGATGCTGTGTGCAACAATACTAAGGGATCGTACAACTGTACATGCAAAGAAGGATACTATGGAGATGGAAATATCTGCCGTTTGGGTAACATTTCTCCTGCTTTATTTCTCAAACTAGTTTTTGTACTGTTACTGTCTGTTAAGACTACTGTAATGAAAAGTTCGTTTATATTAATTATGTATATCGAGATAAAGATTTTATATTAAATCAATGAAAACTTAGACAAATGCCTTGTTAGAAACTACCGAGAATTCAAACTAAAAACAAGCTAACTTCTTGATGGACGTGAAAACGTTTGCCTGCGAAGATAGCAGTCTTATGGTGTGCATTTGAAGCGTCGTGCGGCTTGAGTGAAAACGACGAGGCCGCGATGGTTTGGGATGCTGCTTAAATTCGCGGCGCTGCTGCTTTTATTCTCATCTAGCGCATTAGACACCGCTAACAATGCAAGTTCCAATCAACAATCCAAGAACTTTGAGTATGTCCTATTGACCATGTAAATTTTCCCTTTGAGAGCATTTCAAAACACCATCCTGTCTTTTTTCACTTTAAGGATTTATTGCTTTTGACATACGTTATCTTTTTTTTTCAGCTTCGACATGTAAGGAAATTTTCGACCGGAATGTGTAAGTCAATTATTCACTTACAAGAACAAAACCGGAGCGGAATTTAATGAGAGAATATGAAAATACTAGTACTATTAATAATAATAATTCTGAAAATAATATTGCGTTAAGCATAGAAACCTTGATGATAAATTTCCACATTAGCCTCTCACTTGAAAGGAATCGCCTAATCGAAAAGTACTTTATATCATTTACTGAATACAAGGAAGCCATGGCTTTCAACAAGTTTGGACTGAATCTCTTCTTTTAAGAAGATTCTCTACTTCCTAGGTCGAAAACGAGTGGCGAGGTTACCCTGCACTTAGACTCAAAGCCAATATCTGTTTTCTGTCACATGGGAGACTTTGGATGTGGAGATGGAGGATGGACGCTGATCATGAAGATTAATGGCAGTGAGGTAAAAATTCATCTGCGAGCAAATTCACTAATGAGAGAGAAGCGGCAAGGTGGATGGCAAAATCTGCGGCTATTTCCTTGAAGAAACGTCAAGGGTCGTAAAGAGTTGCTTGTTTGCCCTCGCTGAGTGGGAGCTTGGAACAAGCTATTACTGAGATCTTATTGAAAATGAAAATACAAATTTTATTCTTTGTTATGAATTTCAGAGAACATTCCATTACGATTCCCAGTTTTGGAGCAACAGAAGTGCTTACAACCTTCGAGGAGGCAAGACTGGCTTTGACTTACAAGAGACAAAGTTACCGACCTTTTGGACCACATCCTTCTCCATGATATGCCTTGGTATGAAGATCGGTAATCAGCTCAGATTCATTGTCATCAACAAGCGGGCCGACTCTCTCCACTCCCTTATTGCTGATGGGAAATACCGCAACACCTCACTGGGCCGTGAAACGTGGAAGTGGCTGATTGGCTCACAGGCCTCCTTGCAGCCCAAATGCAGTAAGGAAGGATTCAATGCGGTGGGAGACGACCCTAGTTTTTCAAAAGCAAGAATCGGCATCACCGCTAACCAGCAGAATGACTGTTCCTCCTGTAACTCACGAATTGGTTTTGGCACAGGAGGTCTATATGATGATTCCAACACGTGTGGAAATGAGGCAACGCTCCAGCCAGATAATGGAAACAAGCACATCAAAGCCATAGGGTACATCCCAGTACAGTGACAGGGGACACAGTTAACTCCCCAAAGTTTTAGCCGAGAAGCTATCATGAATCAGAAAATGTAGAATCCTAAAGCTTACCAGCTTATAAAACGGGTTCGAAAATACCTCCTCCTTTGTCCAATTTGTCTTAAATATAACTTTTTTTTTAATATAGTCTTAGAAGTTTTAATTGTGCAAAGCCAATTCGAAGTAGAAATTGGCAATGAAGACATATTCGATGTATTCATATTTCGTCGCAAACTGTATGTGAAAAGGAGGTCATGATCTGATCACGCACTGAAGGAAGTGTTTTCGCTCCACGCCCACAAAGGCCTAAAATAAGTATATGTAGGTTAAAGGGTAATAACTAATAAAACACTCACTTCAAACTGATGCAATGTTGTTTTCTGAAGATGTTATCAGAAGTGATTAAGAGTTTCTAATTTCTGATCCAAATTGACTTTTAATGAGTTTTCACACGTAGCCAGGAGCATCATACCATTGAATCATTTAAAACCATTTTAACTCGAGCACTTTATTTAAGCCCCTCAAAGGTGCCTTGCCCTCAAAACATTTAAATTGGTTGCAAAAGATAAAATGAATTTCTGTTTTTTTTTTCAGTTTATCGTTGATTTTTGATCGTTCGTTATCTGGTTGTTTGGACGAAAGTTGTCCTGAAACGATGACTGTTGTCGGTAGCAGTGACTAATATTTGACAACCATGACAAAGGAAGGAAGTAGAAATCACACCGCCGACTGAGACTCAACGCATGTTAACCACGGAAAAACTGAACAATCAATTTTATAATACCGGGTGGCAGCGTGATGTATCGGCTAACACATAATAATTAGTTCTGTTAGTTCTCAGTTATTTTGCCTTCTTACGCGGTCGATTCAATTTTTTACAGAGACCAATGATGTTCGTGGATTTGCGTTTCTGTCACCAAAACAAAGAAACATTACAACGAGAATGTCTCTCTTAAGTCACCAATACCAAAAAAGATTGGATTATATGACACCTTTTGTTTGTCTCTTTTCACTGATGCGAACTAAAATAGAAGAAGTCCATCCTATTTATCTTTTAACTTTTTACTTGTTTGGTATTTTTTAATTATATTAATGAAAAGCAAGTTATTCCCCCTCTTTGCTCGTCATCCGCACTGACTGGTTAGGGTGGGCTAGCACCAAAGAGACTTGAATAATTCAAACGAAACCAGGATGGCTGAGGACGGCCAAGGATGGAGTTGTTTTAGGTTCAAACTGCAACTGACGGACTTGCAGACCTAAGCTAAAAGTTTCCAAGATTTAAAAAGAATAATCTGCCTCCCTTTGATTCTTGATAATGTCACATTTTGCGATAGTAAGTAAATCAGTATTTACCATTTCCATTACTGCTTCAACTAAAATGTATCACCTACATATGATCATCGCCTTTCAGCTTTAGGCTTAAGATAAGTAAAGGGTTTATTTTACAGAAGATCCTGGGGGAAACTGTGATCAGAAGGTTGAGAGGGTCTAACCAATCCTAGTTCCTTGAGGGCTTTCATTTCAGCTCAGTTAGCCAAAACTAAACGACCTTTTCTTTCAATTATCTTAGAGATTGTTATGACAAAAGTAGCTGGAAAAAACTGGGGAAGCTCTATGCTGGAAGGTTCAAACTCACAAAACCCGAACAGCCTACGCTATCCATTCTTATTGTCCATCGTTTCGAATTGTTCCTTCTAATTTGGTCATCATCTGCTTCTCAAATCAGCCCCCAATCACTTTCTTCTCAACTGAACTTCTCTGAGAGAATGCCTTCCACTAGGATTCGAAAATTTTGGACTAACACAAGTAGTTACCGTCTAGCACCTGTATCTGTTATTTGTTTTAAAGAGGTTTTATTGTTTCTCACCACAATGGCAATTCGTTAACGATAGCTTAACTCTTTTGCCAACTTTAGAAAGCTGTTTAACCAGTATGCTATGGGTGAATAGATGATGAGTGGGCGGATGGTTAATACTAACAAGTTTTAGTGTATTTCTTTCGCAGCAAATCGCGAAAGATTTTCTTTTCTTTTCGTTTTTTTTTTGTCTTTTTTTTTTTGTTTCTTTCCCTTTTCAGACTGGTTCTTTGTTATCGAGCTTCTCATCCAAGTTTATCGGTTGAAATATTTTCTACCTATCTATCCACCTCTATCCACCTCTTTCATCATCTCTCTCTTATTATCCACCTCTTTCATCATCTCTCTCTTTATTATCCACCTCTTTCATCATCTCTCTCTCTTATTATCCACCTCTTTCATCTCTCTCTCTTATTATCCACCTCTTTCATCATCTCTCTCTCTTATTATCCACCTCTTTCATCATCTCTCTCTCTTATTATCCACCTCTTTCATCATCTCTCTCTCTTATTATCCACCTCTTTCATCATCTCTCTCTCTTATTATCCACCTCTTTCATCATCTCTCTCTCTTATTATCCACCTCTTTCATCATCTCTCTCTCTTATTATCCACCTCTTTCATCATCTCTCTCTCTTATTATCCACCTCTTTCATCATCTCTCTCTCTTATTATCCACCTCTTTCATCATCTCTCTCTCTTATTATCCACCTCTTTCATTATCCACCTCTTTCTCATCTCTCCCACCTCATTTCATCATCTCTCTCTCTCTCTCTCTTATTATCCACCTCATCTTCTCTCTCTTATTATCCACCTCATCTCTCTCTCTTATTATCCACCTCTTTCATCATCTCTCTCTCTTATTATCCACCTCTTTCATCATCTCTCTCTCTTATTATCCACCTCTTTCATCATCTCTCTCTCTTATTATCCACCTCTTTCATCATCTCTCTCTTATTAACCACCTCTTTCATCATCTCTCTCTTATTATAATTTTTTTGATGCCGCTCTTCTTGTTTGTGTCTGCTGCAATAGTTATTTTGTGCTGCTAGGTCAGATTTGTTTTTCTCATTTTTTCTCACCTTTTTCTCAAACCAAATTACTACTCCAGGCAGGAAATATCAACAAATTTACCTGTTAAGATAGTTATGTAGCTTTGTGTAGTAATTTAATCGGCTGAAGAACTGCATGTTAATTCGATGAAGCTCTCCTACAGTATAGACTCTTTGCAAAATTTATTTGGTCATTGATTCCTTCAACAATTCAATCCACTTAACTAATTAAAACTAAGAACTTGCGTTTTAGTTGAGTAAATTTATTTCTCTTAAATTTGGGGGAATTTTGGAAAGTCAATTTCTTACCTAAATATTTACATTTCTTGTGGAAATTAATTGCTATCTGGGAGTTTCCCGCGGGTGGCAGCACAGATAATTGCAACTGAGAAATTGAAATGGAAGACAAGTGCCCAAAGGGGTTTTAAATAGTCCGAATATGAACAGAAATGGATGGATGACTTTAACAATTAAGAATACTTAAATATTCAGACGGATAAACTGTTTAAAATAAACAAAATTAAATTAAATAAATAAAATATTCAGATAAATAATCTCAACTGATAAACACATATTTATGTGTGTGTGTGAGTGTTTTATCTCCCAAATTTCTAAGACTTCTCTTTAGCAAACCAATGTCGATAGTTGGAATTTACTCCTGAAAAAGCATTTGATGGAAGACGTCTTATAAATTACATGATTCGCATCGTTCAAATCATGTCAATGGATTTTTGTGAGAGCATGTACTTTATGGAACTTGACTGTGACAGCATTAATCTTAATAAACGAGTGAGTGGTCAAGGAGGTACAAATGTAAATTGAATAATGTGACTCACGAAAGACAAGAACGCGATATGAAGAAGAAATATCATTATTTTTGATGATTTTAGATATATGAAATTTATATATTTGCACTGCGGTGAAGAGATAAAATTAAGAGATCCTAGTAGCTAAGAACATTACTGAAACGAGTAGTTGAAAATAGGACCTGAAAAAAAATTTGAACCCATGACCTCTGTGATACTGGTGCATCAGAAGCATTTATATTTTCTGTTTAGTTTCTTGCTAAGAATATGGAAACCGATTTTTAGACTTTAACCACCACTACGTCCGTTCGATTGATTATTAAAATTAATTGTTTTCATGCTGGACTAATGGCTAAAGATATGAAATTAAAACGAAGAACAATAAGGATTCGCCTAGGTCTCATTGGTTAAAAAAAACCAGAAAGCTTTTATCATAACAAAAAGAATCCAAATAAGATATCTCATATCAATTTGCACATAATTCGAGTAGTCGGTCGCAGAAACTTGGAGATCCATGTGATGAAGAATTCGATTTTTATCTTTGCTCTGTTACTTTTGTGCTTCATGATACTTGCTTATGTCTCATCACAAGGTTAGCCTCACTATTACTCATTTATGATGGGGAATAGAGAAGGGACATTAGTCCTTCATAGTCATAGTTATTGTTTAAAACCTGCATGTTATATGTTTGAAGGAGGTTTTTGTTATTTATCTCCACAATAGGAAACTGTCCAAAGATAGCTTAACATTTCCTTAAACTTGTTAATCAAGTAAATTATTAGTGAGGGAAAGACACTTGGGCAAATAGTTTGTATGAGCGCCTTTATGTAAAATTGATTGCGAATGGTTTTCATTTCCTTTTTTTTTTTTTTTTTTTTTTGTTGTTATTGTTTTTTTTTTTTTTGTTTTTTTTTTCTTAATTATCTTTTTTTTATCTGGCTCGTTATCCAAGCTGGTACATTGTAATATTTTCTACCTTTTCATCACCTCTTTATTCATATTTTGTATTCAAACATGTGATAAGTTTACACTCGTAAATTATGTGGTCGTCTTCGTCGTCTTTTGTTGTGCCGCTCAGTCTTTTTATTTGTGTCAGCTGGAGTGGTTTTTGTGTTTATTGCGCCGGTAAAGTTAGATTTTTGCCTCAGTTGTGGTTAACTTTTTCTCCAGTAAATAACTTCCAACGTCAGGGAATGTCGACAAAGTTGTGATTCCTGCAAGATATGTAGCTTTTGAGAAGTAATTTGATCGGATGAAGAAGACGTTTTGCAATAAAGATCTT